TACACACTATAGATGCGAATATAGTTGTTATAAAAATAATATTGGAAGTCAAGGTATTAAATTTGAAGTTAAGAAGCTAGTAGAAGTATATAAAATATATACAATCCGTTTACACAATTTGTTGCTCTTGTTACATCGTTTAAGTATATATACATAATGTGTTATGGAATTTTCAACAACTTTGACAACGTCATAAATATAATGGGAATAACATTGATAATAAAAATTAACTGTAATCATCATCATATGATATATTGTGTATAGCAAAACATGGTTAGTGCAATATATTAGTTTTTACTTTATTTTATTGCACGTTTGAAAGGCATAATAAACATTATATGGCTTATAGTTATTGCCCATTAGTCAATTTATTGTACATTAATAACTATTATTATTATAAATAAAAATAAGTGCGCTTTAAATGGTCTCATTCAAAGAACTAAATGCTGTGATAAGTGACCGTGGATTGATTTCCATTTTATTTGTTATTTAGAAGCTAGAACTGTACATGCCTAAAAAACTAAAACGAAACGTATCTATAATATGAAATAGACGTACCATTGTATTAATGTTATAGTACCTATTTTTGATATTAATTTATAAGATTGCATAATTTTTTGATAATAAAAAAAAATCCTAATTAGTTGTATTCAATCAAAGCAACAATTTTCTTATACGCAAAAACAAACGATTATTTTTTTATTAAAGTTTAAAATTACTTTGTCATAATTATGTTTCAATTTTCAATTAATGGTAACGGAGAACAGAATTTTAATTACAAAGAATGTTTTAAATGTGATATCACTTCTGATAGTCTAACAAACCTATCTAAAATAAAAAACCAATCATATTTATGTATATTTTTTTTAATTCTTTTTTGTTTGTTTTATTGGTTTTCATTGTAAATCAAATGAACATTCTGAAGAACTAAATAAAACAATTGCCCAATAGTGAAGTACATAAACTTTTCATAACATTTTATTATTTTGTTTTGAATCCGTTTAAGGGAATGCCAGAAAAAAATTATATATATTTTTAAGCTAGCAAAACACTTGCTGTTGAAATACCAATACTGTACAGCCTCGTAGAGCGTAGACATTATAGTTTTGTTTCATAACGTTGTTGAATCATAGTGTACAGAATTAATAGTTGGGAAACTTTCGAGACAAATGTATTCCATTACCTATCCATATATAAGATTTCAGATGTATTCACGTGCAGGTAAAGTTCAAAGTATATATTTTATACTCGATGTACTTGGCAACACCCAAACGACTGTGAAACGTCTGGAGTCTGGGCATTGGGTACAGGAGTCATAATATATATGCTATTATAAGCGTTTTGTGTATGGGTACGAACACACGGAGAAACCGGGAGTGGTATTACAGACATCTACCCCCATGTACGTACATGCATGATAAAGAGTAAAGAGGGTAGTTTTTATGGCGGTCCTCGCATAATAATGGTGGCCTCCGAATTCGGTGTGTGTCGCTGCATGGTGCTTGTGTGTTGAAGGAAGCCCTCCGCTTCCGTGTACGCGCACCCCCACGGCTAGGCATTAAATAAGTAAACAAAAGGCCGAGTGTCCTTGCCCTGCATAGACCTTGAAATGTCCAGACAAAAAAAAAAAGTAAAGAAAAAGGATTCTAGGCGACTCGACCAAAGGATGGACAAAAACGATTCGCACGTCCTCGCCAACTGCGTATAGTCTGTCCGCGCCGGTTGTTAGTGCGGTTTGTCCAAGCGATCAGCTCGCAAGTCGCTTCTGAATAATAATATAAAATATTTTGGGCACAATATGTACATCATGAGTGCTTTCGTTAAACATAAGGCAGTATTTAATATTGTATCGTTACAGCACCGCTGGCAAGTACGTTGAACATTTTGCACGAATTGCGAACCGAACAAACGAGTAAGTAAACGAAAATTGTACTTAACCTAACCGATACAATCTTTCAACGAGACTGCGGCAAAGGAAAACATCATTTTTTTTTTTCGTTACTTAGGTTTTAACTATTTTGTAGTATACAAACGGTTTGATAGGCTAATTTAATGCTATCCAGAATGTAGGGAAACAGTTCCACTTAGGAAGTATAGTATATAGAAAATGTCACCTAGTGAAACAATTAGACATTTTGTTGGGCTATTGTCTTGTTTAATTCTTAGTACAGCCTTGCCGGTATAATTTAATCATAAAAAATATGTAAGATCAATAATATATTGACATCTAAATAAGGTATATGGTCCAAAGTGATCCCTTTAAATGTAAAATCTTTTAAAATAATTTCTACTTTGTAGTTAGTACTTTTTGATAAAATTTCTATTTATGTTATTTTACAATAGCATAAAATGACGAAATATTTAATTTTTTTCATTGTTTTCCAGAAGGCTATCCAATTTGAAATTTAAATCATAACGATAATATTTAACTAACTTTTTATTAAAAAAAAAATACTACAACACACCTTAATTCCTGCAGTCTTAATTTTTAACTTCAATCATTTCAAAAAATAAGTATTCTAAAAGGGTTATCATTTTTAAAGTTGATAAAGCCACAGAATATTGCAAAAAGGATAAAAAATAAAAAAATTATTATTACAAATTATCAAATAATATTAACTAAAAATATTTCTTAAAAAGAGAAACTATAAAGTTATTTTCAGAGAAAGTTAGTGACTTACGTTTAAAATTCACCATGTATACCGATTAAGCTTATCTACCTCGGACTTCTGTTTTAGTTTTAAAAAATTTGGAATCGATAATATTTTTTTGGAAGTAAAACGTTCATAAAATAATTTAGTACATACTAATTTTTAATTTTTTGAATACAAGATTATTGCGATGAAGATCAAAATATACGAACCAGTTTACAAATTGCCATTTTAATGACTTAAGATTTATGGATTTTTATTTATTTTATCAGCAGATACTAGTTAATAGGTTTTTTTCTAATTAATTTACTATACGTCGTGTACTGTGAAGTCTGTAAAAATAGGAGCACTAAAAAAACGAAAATAAATTATTTTAAACATTTAAAAAAGTTTTTTTTTATATAGATTTAAAAAAAAAACAATATTATACATTGGGATTTGTGACTTATATAAAATTGTAGACAATTTTCAATACCCAATAACTTACTCACTTGTGAAATAAATTAATCGAAACACGGGTTAATTTTTTAATGACTTTTTTGTGTTAACATTCGCAGCCTCAAAAAGTCCTTGGAATCTGTTTATAGCCTTCGACTTTAATTATATTTTCTATATTCTTCGCTTTCGACCATTGAATTTAAGTAATTATTTCTAAATTCGGTATTTTTAATATTTTTGTTTGTATATAACAGTTTTCATACAAGTAGATAAATATCGGTTATAAACTATAAAATCATTAGAAGTACAACAACCATGTTGTCACATACCTATTATATATTACAGCCACCTAAAGTGTATCTGCCCAATTATTTATTTAAGAATCTATGTAAAATGTTTATATACTTACAAAAAAAATGATAGCAAGAAGTTTTATGCGATAATGACGACGTGTGAACGAATATATTACTCGATTTGTAATTGTTTGTATTAGATACATGTTTTATCTTTGTAATTTATTTCGATTACCACCACTAAACGTTAATAAAGTAATAAAAGCAATTAAATCTTGGATGTAATTGGTATTAGCATTATCACATAATTGTGTAAATTTAATTTAAAAACGGGAATTGAGTAGACGTGGTAATGTCCCGCACGTATTAAAATCTTATTGTGAAAACAGTGTTTTAAAATAAACCCTAAGTACAAATAAAAAATGGTGTGAAGTCTATATTTATAACGATTTAGAACCAGTTTTGTCAGCAATTTTTTAGATTAAAGGCACATTTTTTAATTCATTTTATAAATTAACTCAACTTGATCTGAAAAATGGTACTACTTCATTTTTTTCTCAAAATGAAAAACAGTTATTGAATAATATTAAAGTTGTTTGCAACAAAAAGTTACAAAAAAATATTTTATTAAGTTCAGCTGACATGAGTTGCCTATAAAAATAATTAGCACATTGAACAACTAAACTTTATATATTTTTTTGGAACAAGAACCAAAATATATATTACAAATTTTTGTTGAACCGAATCTAACCTCAGAATTTCTCTAGCACGTCTAGTTATTTTTAAAAGCATCTCCGTAGTTGTACCTACTTAACACAGTTTTTACTTTACGGTATTTTCAGTGTGTTCTATTCGTTTGAATACTAATTCTATTTTTTCTTTTCAAATGAGATTCTTATTCTGTTTTCTTTGTGGAATTCAGAACTGCTTTCAAAATTAATGTTTTATTTTATCGTTTTTTTTAACTCGTAAGTTGCTTTCAGTTTTGAAAGCAATTAAAAAAAAACTACGTCCTAGAGTAAATATGACACCAGATCTAATTCAGCGAAAATAATTCTATAAAATGTATAGAAATTTTGTTTTAAAAAAAAGTAAAATATTATGTTATAAATTATAAAGTATTCAATTGAGTATAAACTGTGTACAAATAAGTATTGAAATACTTTAATAAAAAATATTTAATAGATGCTTTTATAATAAATTCTAGAATTGCTCAATAAAATTAGGGTGCGCAGTCTGAAAACGTTGTGTGTTAATTTGATTAAATTAAAACAATAACTCTGGGCCTAGGTCAGTATAACTTCTGATCTACATACCAAAAAGAAACCCTGCCGTCTCATAGTAGATCCAGTATTTAAAACATAAAATGCCCAACGGGTTGAATTATTAATAAATCGTTGAATGATTAAGGCCATTTAAAAATTGTTCAGGCTTGCCATATTGTCTACACTTTCTATTTTCTAACGTCGCAAAAAGTCTATCTTATCGCGATAGAATTTCATATTTTTATATCTACGAGGTTAATCAAATTTCATGTTAAACAACTATACACGAACACGTTTGTTAACGATGTTAGTTGGCTTTATGCTGACTTTTTAATAAAAAAATGTCTACGTACCTAAGCGTTTAACTTGATCATCACATTCCGTGTTTGGTGCAGCGTCGACGGCGCGATTTAAAAAGTATACGTTATTCTTTTGGCAATTTAAAACAATTGTTATAATAATAAAAATAATTACACTTATTATAATTTTTTTTTTAAATTCCAACGACGACGGTAAGCACAACTTATACGGACGACGGAGACGACCGAGATGTTTTTCGAAAAGCGTTTGGAGTCGAAAGAGCCAAAAAAACCGAGACCCAGGTTCACAAACGGGGGGGAGCAAATTAATTTCGAAAAAAAAAAATAATAAATCCGGACGTTCGTTGCCGCCAAAATGTATGTGGGGTTTTTTTTATTTTTTTTTTCGGTGTCTCGGTGTGGCGGACACTCGATGGCCGGGGTCGGTCTAATGAAGATATAAACGGGCGGCCGCGGTGGCCGTGTCGGGTGCCGAGCACTTGCCAAGATGGCCGCCGGCCAATGCCGAGCCGCGCACGCAACCCGAACCCATGACGTCACACGGTTTGGTCGCCGCCGCCGGTACAAAAATTCAAAACTCTAAGTATAAGTAAGTATTTTTTCCTATACAGGACGGTCATGCGTCCGACGTGAGAAACTAATTTTTTAGGAAAATAACAATATTTTGAAAAATTATTTTATTCCTAGTTATACTTTAGGCACATATTTTACTATATTTTTAAATACTCGGACCATTTTTGCCGTCAAGTCTTATGCGTAAAATAAATAGGTATTAATTTGGTTTTTCGTTCAGACGGGGGAACATATATACGTTTTTAATTCTATAAATATTTGTAGACAAAAAAATTGTAAACATTTGTAGGGTTTGAATTTTCAATCTTCATTTGCTATGATCTATGGTAATAGATATAATATAGCGATATCCATGCTTGTTTTGACGTACAAAAGATGAAGATAAACATTTTCAACCTATTGAAAAATATAGTAAAATATGTACCTACAAGTATAGGAAAAACAATTTTCAAATTAATCATATTATCATATTATCAATATGTTGCCTTGCAACATATTGATCATCCTGTATACATCCTATTACTATAAATGATTACATGATTACACAATGAATACAAGTTATTTTTTGTAATGTTGATTGTTCAAATAAAGCTGTATATACTCCAACTCCTTTTTGATATATTACATTTGAATTTCAGTCCATTGGTTATAACGATAACGTTCACAGAGGACGTTATAGTTTTATATTCATAGTGGAGATTTAATTTATACCTAGTTCAAAAAATATAACTTTATCTATACCCGATCGGTGACAAATTCTCGACTCTCGGCCAACGTTGTTAAGTTTAAGTACGCCGGTACTTATTATTTGTCCACTTCGGTGTTAATTGTTGTTTAAATTGGACCAGAGGGGTTTTGGGGGGAGGCAATAGCGCGCCTTATTTCGCCCATTGCACCGGAATATCGTAAAATTCGGCTATGGAAGTTATAAAACTCTAACGGTTAGCGGTGCAGCGTTAAACGGTTAGAGGTAATAATAATAACAATAACAATAAAAGTATAAAATAATAATAACAGTAACAATAATGTGTGTTACATACTGTATACTGATCTATATATTATGTGCCCGCGGAATACTCACGAACAATTCCCTTATGTTTTTTTTATAGACGTCCTTCCATCTTCTCCCTCGTTTTAATGTCAACAAGACGTATACATTTGGGTCTCGTATACAAAATACCCAAACTCTAAAATCGGTTGACTACCGATTTGATTATAAATACTGAATTCGTTAGAAAAATTAAATATATATACATATATTTTACTTAATCATATTTTGTGTATACAGCTAAATGTGTTTAAGTACAACCGCATTGTCAGGTTTACGAACGCCAGAAAAAAATGTATTTTACTACTATCCAGTATCCACACAGTTATAATATAAAGTTAACTATGCATTTATAAACTCCTTTGAGATGATACTTAATATACCTACAGTGAAACCATAAGCTAAATACAAGACAACCATAATATTTATAATTTACTAAAAATACATAATAATTAGTTTAATTTACATAAATGCTTTGTTAAAATAAATGTATATTATATTTATAAATAAGTGAAACTAAAAAATTGTAGCTGTCTCATATTTAGCTAAATTTTATATGATAAATTATATCTATTTGTACACAAGAGATGTACAATTTATTCCATTGTTTCAGGCAATGCCCGAAATAGTTGCTTCAGCGTCGCTAAGAATTTAACTATTATCTATATATGTATATGGGTATATTAATAAACAATAGGCCATAAATAATATTAATACTAAAGTGTCCTTCTCGCGTTTAACGTCTCTGTTTCCCAACTAGGCCAGCTCAAACAGGGTTTTTAATGTTGCGGTTTAGAGTGCGCCCATTCTATAGTTGGATACTAATCCGAATACTCGCTGAACAACAATAACAGGACCATAACTTAAGGAGTAAGTATAGTCTGTTTTGATTTCGTTAAATCTGATCTTTCTAGTGACCGAGATTTAAAGAGAAGTGAACGTGACAATGTCTATGTATCTGCAAGTACTATATGATTTGCTACTTAAATATCACCATCTCAATGCAGATATATATTTTAACGTGTATCTATATACTATGCTGTTTCCTCTCATTTCGATTATAAGCAGACACTATTTTTCAGGGTGCCGTTTCTTAGATATGGGGACGCGACGGTCTGACATTTATACAGCACCACCATATGGAATCAAATATCCGGGGTAGACGGCAGTATATACTTATAATATATACCTCTCGAGCATATGGTGCGACGCCATCGAGACGCGTCATTTGGGGGGGGTGGTTGAATTTCAAACTAACAATTCTATGGTTAAGTCGAAACGATATTGTCTTATATTTATCAATACATTAAATAAATAATACAGAAATATAACTATTAATATTCCAAACAAATGGTATTATACGACTGTTTCTAACTGTATATGATATGTATATATAAGCATTTATTATAACATAGATCAGATCCATAAAGTACCTATATAGAAATACATTGTTATGTGTTTACAAGAACTGAGCATATACTATTTTTCCCGTGTAAACATAATGTTCTGTTGACTACTTATTACAGCCGTATACAATTAGCATAATGCAGTAGTGCACAATACGCGTGGCCCATTGAAAAGTCAACTAATAAAACCGTTACAAACTGTCTTATTCACGCAAAGTCCTTAATATATTATTATTATATGCAGCGTGTACACCGCCCCAGTTTGTGTGTGTGTGTACACGCCAAATGGATAAATATTTATTTTACATAGTAATAAAACTACTGTTTACACTAAAAAATAATGTTTGCCTTATATAGGTACGTCCGTAAATACTACACTACTCAACTCTACTATACCTGTATTGTATACATTTAGGTACTTTAATTTAAGTTCAAAAGTCCCTTAACGCTCCAAACTATATTACTGCTATATAATATGCATAATAGCATATTATATATGGCAATGGCATATGCTGTTATGCGACATTTATTTCATAAGAATATTATGTTTTAGGATTGATCACGAGACTTATGACACAAGATTTTTAATGTTAAAAAACATATTTATTATAGGTAACAAAATGTAAATCTTTGTTGGCCATTGTTTTGTCAGCGTATGAATGCTATATTCTACCTACATTATTATAAATGTTAAATCTCTAAGTGAATAACAATAACAGACAGTAAAATAATATTATTACTATTTTGTGTTTAAATATAATATAGTTTTAAAATGTCACAGCGGTTTGTTTGAAACGCGAATCGAATCAGACCATATTATAACTCTTGTACATACACATATATGATATTATGTAAGATGTACCTATGTAGTGTTTAACTATTTTTAATGTTGTACGATACAATTATTATCGTTAAAGAAGTTTAAAGTTTTTTTAGTGCGTTTTGGGAGGATATCGTGGAACTTTTCGGTATTTTATTATTAACGGTCGACAAGACGTGTATTGTACGCCAGACTTGCCACAACGCACACAATTTCTCAGTTTTTTCCCTTCTGCCAGCCACGTTGTTTAAAAGCAATAACGGTCGAGGTGTAATGGGAAAACTTTTCCTGCAGCCAACCCGCAGGGCGCCGTAAAAATGCCTGCTAAAATAACGACAAATAAAATAAACGCCCTGTCGTAAAAAAGTTTGTAAAAAAAAAAAAAAACACATCACACGAACGGGCGGAGAGAAATGACAAAAAAAAAACCCGAGAAATTCTCTTATATTAAAATTTACAATAATACTAAACGCGGCGTTGCAAAGAATTTGCATATTTTGTTCTACGAGGGAGTGGTATAGATACAATATACATACATAATATATTCAACCACCCCTCTCGGTCGAGTCGCCCTACGACTAAATAGAACAATTTTCCCCTTGTTGTGCTATGTCAGTTTCATGATAATGATATGAGTACACAATATACATACATGCGAACTGGCCTAAATATCATTATACAAAGTAATAATAATTATGTTATGAGTCATTGTCTATTCGCTTTATGGTGTTTTGTGGACAAAAGGGATCACCTTCATAAAAAATTACGGTTTTTTTTTTAAGTTGAACGTCTCTGACAAGAGTTGTTGACCATTTTCCTAACTTAAGTAACTCCTAGTTGGCCCGCATCTACTAAAAGTAGTGGTTAAAATCAAAAAGGCTTTATCCAGATTATCCGGTCTTTTGGATTAAAATGGTTTCGTCTTTCAAATTGCGAATAAGTATAATTATTATACAATAAATATCAAAATCCTGATTTTAGCCCACTTTCCATTTTTGATGGCCCAATGGAAAGACGTTTCATTGAAAAATATTGTTTAATCAACTTTTTTGAGAGAGAGAGAGAGAGAGAAAACTGTCACTTGTATCTACCCTTTTATTATTTTCTTGTAATGTAAAGCATGTAATAAATAGATCTGTTCTGTTAAGGCCACGATTTCTTTTTATCAACTCCGCTAATAACAGGTTTTACTGTGTTAACAAAAAATTGAAAATAAATTAAATATTTTATCCTATAACTATTTACAAATTGAGTTTAATGTGTATTATGTTTTTGATAATCAAATATTCAAATCGTTGCTGCTAAAACCCACACCAAGCTCATTAAAGACTTAGAATGAGCACTGTTACTATGTATAGTGTCAGAATTGTAAAATTTGGGTACAAATGGCATCGCTACTAAATTGTTTAAAATATATAATTATGCCATCTGTGCGCTTTATCTACCGCATTGTTGTTACTGTGTTAATATTTTAATTATAGTACAACCAATTCCTATATTTTGCATTTTACCGAAGCTAAATCTTCTATATCTGTAGAGGTAATCAATAGACGTACAGA